GAGATTTCACTGAATCTGTAGATTGCTTTGAGTAGTAGCAACATCTTAACAATATTAAGTTTTCCAGTCCTTCAGCATGCGATAACTTTTTATTTATTTGTGTTTTTAATTTCTTTCTACAATATTTTGTAGCTTTTAGTGTGTCCAGTGAGTTTTAAAAGTATTTTAGATCAAAAAGTTTCTTTATACTTTTGAAAATACAAATATTATTATGTAAAGTGTTGGGGTATATTTACCTAAAATGCTCATTGCTTAAAAAATATTTACTTTTCAGGGCGCCTGGGTGGCTCAGTCGTTAAGCATCTGCCTTCGGCTCAGGTCATGATCCCAGGGTCCTGGGATCAAGCCCTGTGTCAGGCTCCCTGCTCAGCGGGAAGCCTGCTTCTCCCTCTCCCACTCTGCCTGCTTGTGTTTCCTCTCTCTGTCAAAAAAAAAAAAAAATTTACCTTTCTAGTTTTCTAGTTTCTAGTTTCTGTTAACTAACCTGTTAATTATGCATTCTACCAATGCATAAATTGCTGGGGTGATTTTTTTCAGTAGTATTGTTAAAATTTTTGTATTTATCGTGGAAAGCATATTGTGGAAAGCATCTGCCTTCTGCAGTGCATAAAATTTGTCAAGCTTTTTTTGTAGTTGAAAATAAACAAGGTTGGCACTAAGTAAAATAGTGAAGAATAGAAAGTTCTATCAATAATGTTTTATGTCTAATATTCCTTTTTTTTGAGCTGCTTCTCCCCACTTGTTCACTACTATATAGCAGTGATTCTCAGTTCTCCACAACTATCTCAAGGTACCTTTGGCCTTGAGATATTTTTGGTTGTCACAACTTGGGTGAGTGCCACTGGCATCTATTGGGTAGCAGGCAGAGATGCCCCCCGCCCCCACCATAAGAGTTATATGGTAAGAGGTCAATGGTGCCAAAGTTGAGAAACTGAAATATAGCAACTCTTCTGCTTTAGATGAAGTGTCCTTTTGCTTTCATCTCTTCTCACTTTGTTACTTTCTCTCTTTCTTCCCTGCCATATATATTATTTAGCAAAAATAAGTGATTAATATTAAACCACTTACAATGGAAAGGATCTTGTGAATAGCTTTCCCATCACATTTATGTAAATGAATTTAATGTGGTTCCCTACAATGAGTTTAGCCAGCTATACATTTAGAGGACACAGTCTTCCACAAAACTATTCTCACTTCTGATACCAATTGCAACTTTAGGGGATTCCCAAAATCACCTTCAGGTTCAATAATTCTTTGAAAGGGCTCACAGAACTCACTGAAGGATATTATACTCATGGCTTATTACAGGGGAAGGATATGGTTAAAATTTGCAAAGGGAAGAGACAGATAGGACAGAGTCTGGTGGGTCTAAACGTGGAACATCTGGTCATCCTTTTCCTGTGGCATCATGCATGACATTAACTTCTCCTGGCCTCTGTGTATGATGACATTACTTACATAGTATTGCCAACTAGGGAAAACCAGTTAGAACTTTGGTATCCAGAGTTTTTACTGGGGCTCTATCACATACCGTCTGCATGGCTGATGTTTAGTCTCCAGCCCCTCCTGGAGGTTTAGACTAATACCTCTGGAAGTTGAACTGATATTATTTGTCCCAAAGCTCCCATCATAAATCACATTGTTGGATTGTCTGGTGGCCAAAGCCTCTGGAAAACAAAGATATACATATCAGGCAGGACATTCCAGAGGCCTAGAGATCATTCCCAGTAGCCAAGAGCAAAACCACACCTTTCTTTGGGTAAAAGTAATTCTTGACTACACATTTCACAATCTGTATTTTAATTTTAAGGTTACCTTTGCATGGAAAGAAAAATCATAGGTTGAGTTCTTTCACTAAGCTAATGACTAGACTATAAGCTTTTTGAAGAGGCAGCCTCTCTTATTCAGTGTTCTTAGCCTACTGTAGGTGCTTCATAAGTCTTTATTCTGTGACTTAGTAATTAAGCAAACATTATCTTCAATTTAGTGATTTCAGGTATAAGACATCAGGTGATCATTTTACCATACTGGCCCTTCAGTAATATTCAGAAGTAACTTTAGAGATCCTCATTTTATAGATGAGAAAACTGAAGCCTAGAGAGGCCAAATCTCACAGGTATCCATAACTGGGGCAGAGTTTAAGTCTCTTGACCCTGTATTGAGTATTTTCATCACATCCTATTATGTTAAACAGGGAGAAATTACATAATTTCTATGTGAAAGGTGCTAGGCTTACTCAAGGCATAAAATTCTAGCTAGTTCCAAAGGACTTTATAATCTTAGGAAGGAAAAGAAAATGGATACATATATTCAAAGCATAATAAGTATTGTAAAGAAAAGAGTACAAATTGCTATGGGACCACAAAAAGAGGTTATTTGTCACTAGTGGGGACAATCAGCAAGGCTGCTTAGAAGATAAATTTAAATTTGAATATTAAAGGATATGTACAGTTAAGACTGACCTTGACATGTGGGAGAAAAGACATTGCAGATGAGGGTGTAAGGTGAATAAAGGAAGAGCCAGTATAGAATTCACTCTATCTGAAGAGATCAATCCTATGCTAAAAGTAAAAAACAGAAATACCGATTTAGTCATTGGTAGGTAGTTAAAAGAATAATGGTCTCTTTCCTTCAGTTTGTTCTCATGGAAAAAATTGCTGAGACTCATATCCTTCCTTTTTAGCTTTTTCTAAGATCTGTCAGTTAGATCAAGTTTGTTAATGGTTTTGTTCAAGACTTCTATATTTTTACTGATTTTGGGGGTTGGGGGGGCTACTAGTTCTGTCAGAAAGATGTCAAAATTTACACTGTGTGGATTTATTTCTTTTTTTAGAGTTTTGATTTATATATTTGGAGCAAAAAATACTTCAAATTATTATATTTTCAGCATAAATTGAGCCTTTTATTATTTTTGAAATGTCCTATCTTTAGTCATGCTGTTTGTCTGTTTTGTCAGATATTGATATATTGATGGGGCTACAGAAGCTCTCTTTTGTCTAGCGTTTGCATGATATATCTTCCCCATCTGTTTACTTCCAGCTTTTCCATATCTATATATTTAAGATGTATTTCTCATTAGCAGAATGTAACTGAGTTCTCTTTATAAAATGTGGTCTGATAATCTTATTCTTTTAGTGAAGTATTCATTTACATTTAATGAAATTACTGTTTTGGTTTTAATTTGTCTTACCATTTCCTTTTTGTTTTTTCCTCTTTTATGTATCATTTTCTCTTATTTCTTGCCTTGTTTTGTTTCTTTTTTATTATTCCATTTCTCCCCAGTGTTGTGAGTTTACATTCTTTAACCATTCTTTTAGTGTTTTCCTAAAGATTACAATACTCATCTTTAAATTATTAAAGTCTAGCATAACAGTATTTTACTACTTCCTGGACAATGCCAGAATTTTACATTTTCAGCTATTTTTCAGTTCTATAATTTCTATTTATTCTTTTTTTATACTTTTCCAGTTCTCTACTGAAATTGCCAATCTTGTTTTTTAATTCATTGATTGTATTAAGCATAGTTATGTTAAAGTCTGTGTCTGACATTTCCATTATATGTATCCTTTTCTCAGTGTCTTTCTAGTCGTTTGTTTCTCTTGGCTTTTGGTTAGGTAGTCTTGCCTCCTATATGTATGGTTGTTTTTGATTCCATGCCAGGCATTGTAAATGAAAAATTTTAGAGATAATTTAAGGCTATATGTCTGAGTTGTCCAGTATGATGACTAGCTACATGTGGCTATGTACATTTAAATTCTTTAAAATAAAGTAAAATATAAAAATTCAGATCCTTATTACACCAGTCACGTTTCAAATGCTCAACAGCCACATGTGGCTCTTACCAGACAGGGCAGATATAGAACATTTTCATCACTGCAGAAAAGTTCCACTGGATAGCACAACTCTAGATGATCTTATCTTTCAGTAGAGAATTTACTTTTGCTTATGGCCCTAGAGACACTAGGAGTCCTGGCTCACCTTAATCTAGTTGAGTTTGAGGTGGTTCTAAATTGGACTTCAGTTTTTATGAGGGCTAGTATACTTCTTATTAACTTTTCAGTTGTAGAGTGTAGCCTTTTGAGATCACAGTCAAAGCTTAGAGGATTACCAGGGCTGCCCAGGTGGCAGCCCCCCAGCTCCAACATTTTATCTCTTAAGACCTGTGAGTCTGCAGAGAGCTATGTTCAGCTTCTTAGCCATGCTTCTTGGAGAAAAGCAGGCTCAAATGCAGGCATACCTCTCTAGCTTTCCCTTTTCCTTATCTTGAAACCTTGCTAATTCTTCACTGCCTTCTTGGTTCTCTAATATATTCAAATTGATTTTTAATAAAAATATTTTTATTTTTTATAAATTAAATAAATATTTTATTAATATTTTTGTCCCTAGCTTTTTTAGTTATTCTTAGTGGGAAAGTTGTTTAAAACAGCAGTCCATCATAGCCAGAAGTAGAGCTATTCTACTAATGATGTTTTAATCAAATATTTCAAATAAATATGCCTAACAACTAATGTATAGGACATTTCTACCTACATGGTCCTCTTTGATTCCAACTACAATTTTGTGATCAGGATATCCTTATTTCAAAGATGAGAGAATTTAGGTGCAAAAAAGTATGAATAAAAACAGCTGGTAGAAGGAGAGCTGAAATTCAAACCCAGATTCTCTGATGCTAAATCCTGTGTCTATTGTTAGGCCTAGTGGCTGTCAGTAGTCAGTATGCATAATGAATGATAGATGCAGCCATGAAAACTAATCTTTCTCATTGGTACCTCAGGTAATTCTAAAGTTTCTTTTCTCCTTTAAAATGAATTCCAGAATAAGTCTCCTTCTTAATACTTTAAAATACCTGGGATCCTTAATATTTAGGGTAATTTAAGAGAAGTTATCCTAAATGCTATATAAATATTTCTCTGTTGATGAGTCCATATTTCCCATTGCTTTTCTAGTTTTCTGTTGTATAGCTTAATCTGAATTCTATTAACTATGTTTTTTTTCCTCCCCAAGATAACTGCTAAAATACCAAGCACAGCAGTTACTAGACCTATAGCTACTGGATATGGGGTAGGTTTACTTAAGCTAAAAATATTAAGGTGCTTTTTCTCATCCATAAGTTCACTTTAGGCAGTTCTAAATAATTTTGGGTATCTTTCAGTCCGTGACCCAGATATATTTTTCATTTTAGATAGTTACAAACCTTATAAAAGTCTAATTTGATTAATAGTTTTTATATTCTAGTCATTTTGATTGTAAATTTATCAGAAAATATTTTATTATCATTTCTATTTGTAAACCTTATGTTTGTTGATTTACTTCCTTTCATTTTTTGTGTTATATTACCAAGTCTCATGTATTCCATTAAAATTTTATGTGAAGTTAAATTTTATATAAAAGTAATGATATTTATAATATTTCAAAACCTACCAATTAATACATGAAAAAATAAAATTTGAGAAAAATTTCAGAGGCGTATATTTGGGTCTTGCTTTTATTTGAGATCTTTGGAGGAAAGATGCTATATAAAAATCCATAAAGGAAAAGTTGTAAGTCCTGCCCAAGTTTGGATGTCTTAGCATACATGAAATAAAAGGGGAATGGGAGAAAAATGGAAGAATGATGTGGAATAGCATTTCCTAGTCCTTATTATAATATTCCATAGGGGTCAGAAAAATGGATTTAGTACCTAGAGGTCCAGGACACTTAACTTCATACAGTTTCTTTATATGAATAAGGAAAGTAGTCATATACATAATGTAACTGTGTTAAATGAAACATGGTTTTATTAATCAGCCTAAGCATGTATTACTCATAAATTTGATTTTTGGTGGTACTTCAGAATAGGAAACAGCAAACATTTTCTATGAAGAGCCAGGCAATTTAGGCTTTGCAGGTCATAGTCCCTGTTGCAGCTACCAGACTCTGCCTTTGTAGTACAGAAGCCACCACAGACCATGTGCAGACCAGTGGGGTATGGCTGTATATCAATAAAATGTTATTGACAAAGGCTGAAGGTTGTAGTTTGTTGAAGCTTGTTTTAGAGTTTTATTGTTTAATCTTATATCCTCAGGTTATAAATGGAGAGAATTAGGTTTACTTGCCAATAGAAAGAAGAAAAAAGTTATGAAGAAAACTTTTCTAACTTGGTTTTTATAAAATTAAATGTAGATGTTTTTTGGAATCATTTTAATTTAGTTTTCTGTTTACTAGTCCAAGACATCCCTGGCATCATCGATGGGAAGACCAATGACAGGGGCTATTCAGGTATCTCTGTCATGTGGTTGTTCATTTTGGGCCTCTCTTGTGACTTATTGCCAACCTTTTTTATTATATTATTTTAAAATGTTAAAGAAGGTGTTTCTTATATAATGACCCTGATTCTTTAAATTGTGGGCTAAAGGTTGGACTGTTCAGAATCTTCAGAGGCAAAACCTCATTGGATTTACTCAGGTCTCAAATGAAATCCCCTTGGGGAGTGGACATAGAACTGATAGTGTGCTTGTGTGGTGAGCTCTGGGTCCCATTTTTCCTATGCTAGCACTTGCAACAGTTTCTGCAGTTTCTCTCATAGGCATATAAGAAACTGAAAAAGTAGAGGAGTAGCCCGCTAATAAGCTATATAACTTATATAAGGTGCTATATAACTTATATAAGGTGCTATATAAAAATCTTTGAGTTTTTTTTTTCAAACTAGGAGTAAGCTCAGTTAAAGCAAGGAATTGAAATTTTATAGGGGAAAAGGACAGTAGAGACAGGACTGACATTTAGGAAGGCAGGGGTAAGGAATAAGCAGAGAGTGATTAAACATCAATATTAAACGGGTGCCTGGGTGGCATGGTTGGTTAAATGTCCAACTCTTGGTTTCGGCTCAGGTCATGATCTCAGGGTTGTGAGATCGAGCCCCACGTGGGGCTCCGTACTCAGCTTGGAGTCTGCTTAGAGTTTCTCTCTTCCTCTCCCTCTGCCCATCTCTACCTCTCTCTCTCAAATAAATGAATAAATCTTTTTAAAAAATAAAGATTGGGACTAAAAATATGGGACTATATTAATGTATGTTCCATGTGCAGAAATATAAATAAGAAGCAAATCTTATTTAAGAATACCTTTTAAATGATTCTTTTTCTTTCAAGGATGGAATTACTAGACCAATGACAGCAGTGAGAGCAGCTGGTTTTACCAAAGCAGCTTTGAGAGGTTTGTTATATTACCTCTTCTATTTTTTTTCAGATGTTTTAATGTTGTTACTGTGTTTCTATGTGTAAATGTAAAATGTTACCATTTTAAATAAAACCTAACATGCCATTGATTATAAGGTATGTCATTATTTTAGGTACCATTAAGAAAGAAAAGGGGTAATGAAAATGTTCTGCATCTCAGTTGGAATGGTGGTTTTACTGGCATGTAATTTGTCGAAGTGTGCTGACTTGTACATTAAAAATGTATGCATTTAAAAAAAACTAAAAAATGTGCAATTTATTTTATATAAGTTAGAGTCCAATTAAAAATTTACAAGTGAAAATAGTATTTAAATAAGTAGATTAAGTCATAATATAAAAATAAAATTATAATGACAAAATTTAATGTATATTATACCAATAAAATGGTTAAAAACTCAATTCCAGTCATTACTCACATGATGGCTAATTTAGAGTTCCTAGAGTTAGGATAGATTACTGTGGAGGAGAAGTAAACGCTGAAGAGAGTACTCTTTTTTTTTTTTTTTTTAAGATTTTATTTATTTATTTGACAGAGACAGC